AACGATACAACACAGTCTGCGAATCTACGTGCTTAACTTCATGAAATCTAACTATATGACACTATATGAGAATCTACGTTCTTAACTTCATGAAAACTAATGATACAACACTGTATGTGAAACTATATACTTAACTACATGAGAACCTACCATATAACACTGTATAAGAAAATACGTGCTTAACTTCTTCAACATTAATGTTACAACACTGTGTGGGAAACTACATGCTTAACTTCTTCAAAACTATCGATACAACACTGTGTGTGAAACTATGTTCTGTCTTCATGAAATCCATCTATATAACACTATATGTGAAACGAGTTACTTAACTTCAGGAAAACTAATGATACAACACAATCTGCAAATCTTCGTGCTTAACTTCAAGAATCTAACTATATAACACTATATGAGAAACTACGTACTTAACTTCATGAAAACTAATGATACAACTCTGTATGTGAAACTATGTTCTTAACTACATGAGAACCTACCATATAACACTGTATAAGAAACTACGTGCTTAAGGTCATGAAAACTAACGACACAACACAGTATGTGAAACTAAGTGCCTAACTTCTTCAAAACTAATAAAACAACAGTGTGTGAGAAACTACATACTTAACTTCTTCAAAACTAACGATACAGCACAGTCTGCGAAACTACGTGCTTAACTTCATGAAATCTAACTATATAACACTGTATGAGAAACTACGTACTTAACTTCATGAAAACTAAAGAAACAACACTGTATGTGGAACTATGTGCTTAACTACATGGGAACCTAACATATAACACTGTGTAAGAGACTACGTGCTTAACTTCTTCAAAACTAACATTACAACACTGTGTGTCAAACTAGGTTCTCAACTTCATGAGAACTAACTATATAAAACTGTACTAGAAACTATGTGCTTAACATCATGAAAACTAACGACACAGCACAGTATGTGAAACTATGTGCTTAACTTCTTGATAACTAACAATATAACACCGAGTGTGAAACTATGTGCTCAACTTCATGAGAATGTACCATATAACACTGTATTAGAAACTACGTGCTTAACGTCATGAAAACTAACGACACAACACAGTATGTGAAACTAAGTGCTTAACTTCTTCAAAACTAACAATACAACACTGTGTGAGAAACTACATACTTAACTTCTTCAAAACTAACGATACACCACTGTGCGTGAAACTATGGGCTAAACTTCATGAGAACTTACCATATAACACTGTATTAGAAACTACGTGCTTAACTTCATGAAAACTAACGACACAACACAGTATGAGAAACTAAGTGCTTAACTTCTTCAAAACTAAGGATACAACACTGTATGTGAAACTATGTGCTTAACTATACGAGAATCTACCATGTAACACTGTATAATAAACTACATGCTTAATTTCTTCAAAACTAAAGTTACAAAACTGTGTGTGAACCTACATGCTTAACTTCTTCAAATCTAACAATGCAACATCTGTGTGTGAAACTATGTGCTTAACTTCATGAAATCCAACTATATAACACTGTATGTGAAACTACGTACTTAACTTCATGAAAACTAACGATACAACAAAGTCTGCGAATCTATGTGCTTAACTTCATGAAATCTAACTATATAACACTATATGTGAAACTACGTGCTTAACTTCATGAAAACTAACGACACAACACAGTATGTGAAACTAAGTGCTTAACTTCTTCAAAACTAACGATACAACACTGTATGTGAAACTATGTGCTTAACTACATGAGAACCTACCATATAACACTGTATGATAAACTACGTGCTTAACTTCTTCAAAACTAAAGTTACAACACTGTGTGTGAAACTACATGCTTAACTTCTTCAAAATTAACAATACAACACTGTGTGTGAAACTATGTGCTTATCTTCATGAAATCCAACTATATAACACTATATGAGAAACTACGTACTTAACTTCATGAAAACTAAGGATAAAACACTGTATGTGAAACTATGTGCTTAACTACATGAGAACCTACCATATAACACTGTGTAAGAAACTACGTGCTTAACTTCTTCAAAACTAACGTTACAACACTGTGTGTGAAACTACATGCTTAACTTCTTCAAAACTAACGATACAACACTATGTGTGAAACTATGTGCTAAACTTCATGAAATCCAACGATATAACACTATATGTGAAACTACGTACTTAACTTCATGAAAACTAACGATTCAACACAGTCTGCGAAACTAAGTGCTTAACTTCATGAAATCTAACTATATAACACTATATGAGAAACTACGTACTTAACATCATGAAAACTAATGATACAACAGTTTATGTGAAACTATATGCTTAACTACATGAGAACCTACCATATAACACTGTATAAGAAACTACGTGCTTAACTTCTTCAAAACTAACGTTACAACACTGTGTGTGAAACTGTGTGCTTAACTTCATGAAATCCAAATATATAACACTATATGAGAAACTACGTACTTAACTTCATGAAAACTAACAATACAACACTTTGTGTTAAACTATGTGCTCAACTTCATTAGACCTAACCATATAACACTATGTTAGAAACTATGTGCTTAACTTCATGAAAACTAACGACACAACACAGTATGTGAAACTAAGTTCTTAACTTCTTCAAAACTAACAATATAACACTGTGTGAACCTATGTGCTTAACTTCATGAAATCCAACTATATAACACTATATGAGAAACTACGTGCTTAACTTCATGCAAACTAATGATACAACACTGTTGTCAAACTATATGCTTAACTTCCTCAAAACTAACGATGCAACACTGTATGTGAAAGTATGTGCTTAACTAAATGAGAACTTACCATATAACACTGTATAAGAAACTACGTGCTTAACTTCTTCAAAAATAACGTTACCACACAGTGTGAATCTACATGCTTAACTTCTTCAAAACTAACGATACAACACTGTGTGTGAAACTATGTGCTTAACTTCTTGAAAACTAACTATACAACACTGTGTGTAGAAACTACATGCTTAACTTCCTCAAAATTAACGATACAACACTGTGTGTGAAACTATGTGCTTAACTTCATGAGATCTTACCATATAACACTGTATTAGAAACTACGTGCTTAACTTCATGAACTCTAACGATACAACACTGTATGTGAAACTATGTGCTTAACTACATTAGAACTTACCATATAACACTGTGTTAGAAACTACATGCTCAACTTCTTCAAAACTAACTTTACATCTCGGTTTGTGAAACAACATGCTTAACTTCTTCAAAACTAACAATACAATACTGTGTGAAAACTATGTACTTATCTTCATGAAATCCAACTATGTAACACTATATGAGAAACTACGTACTTAACTTCAAGAAAACTAACGATACAACACTGTGTGTGAAACTATGTGCTTAACTTCTTCAAAACTAACGATGCAACACTGTATGTGAAACAATGTGCTTAACTACATGAGAACCCACCGTATAACACTGTATAAGAAACTACGGGCTTAAGTTCTTCAAAACTGACGTTACAACACAGTGTGTGTAACTACATGCTTAACATCTTCAAAACTAACCATACAACACTGTGTGTGAAACTATGTGCTTAACTTCATGAAATCTAACTAACACTATAAGAGAAACTTCGTCCTTAACTTCAAGAAAACTAACGATACAACACAGTCTGCGAATCTACGTGCTTAACTTCATGAAATCAAACTATATAACACTATATGAGAAACTGCGTACTTAACTTCATGAAAACTAACGATACAACACTGTGTGTGAAACTATGTGCTTAACATCTTAAAAACTAACGATACAACACTGTATGTGAAACTATGTGCTTAACTACATGAGAACCTACGATATAACACTGTATAACAAACTACGTGCTTAACTTCTTCAAAACTAACGTTACAACACTGTGTGTGAAACTGTGTGCTTAACTTCTTGAAATCCAAATATATAACACCATATGAGAAACTACGTACTTAACTTCAAGAAAACTAACGATACAACACTTTGTGTGAAACTACATGCTAAACTTCTTCAAAACTAACAGTACAAAACTGTGTGTGAAACTACGTACTTAACTTCATGAAAACTAACGATAAAACACAGTCTGTGAAACTACGTGCTTAACTTCATGAAATCTAACCCTAACCCTAACCCTAACCCTAACCCTAAACCCTAACCCTAACCCTAACCCTAACCCTAACCCTAACCCTAACCCTAACCTAACCCTAACCCTAACCCTAACCCTAACCCTAACCCTAACCCTAACCCTAACCCTAACCCTAACCCTAACCCTAAACCCTAACCCTAACCCTAACCCTAACCCTAACCCTAACCCTAACCCTAACCCTAACCCTAACCCTAACCCACTTTGTGTTTACTTACCTTTCTGGGATCATATCTCTTTTTCAATCCTTCGATCTTCAAAGAGGTCACTGTTGAGGAAGGTTTCAGGGCATTCTACTTTTCTTGTTACCTTTCTTCCTGGTTGTGTCTTCTGTTTACACACCTACAAGTCTGATATTTTCCTCCTTTACTCTCTGGCATGTGTTGTGTTAAGAAAAATATAATCAAATTAGAAAACTCAATAACTATCAAATGCTCATGCAGCAGCCAAAGCTCCTGTTTGTCTTGATTTTATTTGGGGTGTCCAATGGAACAGGTTCTACAATGGCTGCTTTTACACTAGCATTGACTGTTTTGGGGAAGACAGCACAGATGAACATATGCACTCAGTGTTACTTCATCAAATGTACCTGAGCAGAGGACAGTCAAGGGAAGGGAATGAGGAGGGGGAGGAGAAGGCAAAGGTCAAGGGGCCAGATAGGGAAAGGACACAAGGAAACTTAGGAGGAAATGACAGATGGAAGTAGGGGAAAGAGGAGGCAGGGGGAAAGGAGACGGGAGGAGTGAAGGATTAATGCCAGTTACTGGTGCAGGGGCGGCTGTAATTTGAGAATAGTATAAGGCAAATTATTCAAAAAACATACCAGCTTCAAATGCCAGTTAGCCAGCACATTAAGAGTTGCATGGCAAAGCCAACTTCATCTTCCAAATTAGTTTAATGCTACAAACTTACAAAAAAGAGTACTGCAGAACCCCTGAGGAACAAGAACAGCCTGGGTGTGGGTGGAGGACCTCTGAGCCCCCTTTATCCCTGGGTGACCCTGTGGTAAAGTACACATGGCCTTGGTTCAGCCCAGAATGCTCACCATACCAGGAAGGGCAAGGGACAAAAAGCTGACTCCTTACCCATCTGACCACAGGGACCCTGTCGGGTCAGCCTATGGGCAAAAAAGTGTAGCCAAGGCCTTTCTCACATACCCAGATAGGTGGCAGGCATCAGCCCCTCTCCTCACTAACTGCTGAGGTCTTGTCTTCAGTGAAGACTCTCCCTGTCACTCCATCAGCATTCCAGTGTGGAAAGATAAAAAACCTGCCATGGAGCTCCTGTGACAAAAGACATCAGAGGTGCAGTGAAAGCTTGGTCCTTAAATATCCCCCTCTCCAACAACAGTGACCAAGAAAACAAGCAATGCTCTCAGACACCCCCTACCTACAATGGGAACAGCAGATGTGGTGGCTCATCACACCAGCCCTTGACTTGGCATTTCATCTCCCTGGCTCTTGGGGACATCAGTGCCACAAGAGTTTAGTACTCAGAATAAACTAACAAAAATGCAAAAAAGATGGCAGCATAAATATATACCATGTTGCTCTTTTCTTAAATGTCAATTACAATTTGAATAGAATACAATATTATACTGACATGATGTTTCTAAGCTTATTTTAGCAATAGTGAGCTGCCTTAGAAGGAAAAATGTCTGTGGTGTATAATGCTGACAACGTGACCTTGAAAGGGCTAAAAGAAAACCCACAAACATATATGTTACACATTCTAAGCCATAATCACATTTTACACACACACACACCAGACATGTTTTTTAAAAATAAATCTATCTTAACAATATATGGCATCTCAAGATAATTCCATTAGGAAGCAATACTTCAAGATGAGCACCAAATGAATCAAAACTGTATCATGGCCGGGCAGTGGTGATGCACGCCTTTATTCCCAGCACTAGGGAGGCAGAGGCAGGTGGGTCTATGTGAGTTCGAGACCACCATAGTATACAAGAACTAGATCCAGGACAGCATCCAAAGCCACAGAGAAACCATGTCTCAAAAAGCAAAAAAAAAACAAAAACAAAAACAAAAAAAAAAACTGCATCATGAAGAAGCAGGATATTGAAAACTATACATATCCATAGTACAACAAGCTATGTTTTTAAATACACAGTTGATTGATGATTATTCTATTTTATTATATCTCTAACAGACAGATGTAAAATGTAAACAATTCTTTGGATAGACACATGAAGTATTTTCTTACCTTCTTAAGCATGTTAATATTAACATTGTTGAAACATGTCAACAAAGGAGCACACATCGGGGGTACATCATCTACCCTTGGTCTTGAACTCATGAGGATGAAACATGAGACATAGGAGTTCAAAGGTAGCCATGACAAAGTACTGACATCCAAACCAGGATGGATAACAAACAATGACGTCTGAAGGAAATTTGTGGAAACATAAAAAAAAAAAACAGGAACAAGAAGCCATCAACCTTTCACAGACCTTTATGTGAAAAGTATAACACTACCTAATAGTTAAGTAAACAATGATCCACTTAGATAATAATCAACCCATTCTATACATTTCAGTAAAAAAATTGCCTATCATCAAAGTGAAAGCACAACAGAAGATGAACAGAGTCAAAGAAGGAATATTTGAACCAGCAGATAAACTGAAGGAATACATGAACTAGCAAATAAACTTCAGTATGTGGATTTGCCACATATACAGGACATTTTAATACCTCATACAAAACTTTCAATATCAGAAACTACAATGCTGTGATCTCTGCCATCATACTTGAATGAAATAGATGAAACAGATTCTTTCCATTGAAACTGAAGTCAACTGTGATATGTAAATTCTTTACCATATTGTTTACATGAACAGGATTTTTCTCATTCCTCCCTGTTTCCTAATGTCAAGATGACATATAAAGGTTTAAAATACCATATGGCTAAAGATATGATCAAGCAGTTAAAAGTTCATTTCCAGGACCAAGGTCTAAAATATTGAGAGGGATAAAGACAGGGTCAAGCAGTTAAGACATATCCCTGCCCAGAATCAAGGTGAGGTTTTTGACAACATTCTGTGATTTCTGTTAAAAATAAATACATGAAGACTAAAGGATTTACCATTCTAAGAACATGCACATATCTAAAGACACACTGACATAACAAAATAAAAATTAACAAAAATCATTAAACGTTTCCAATCATGACTATTTTTCTTTTCAAAGCATTCATTCCTATAACCCAGATGTTGAGGCTGATAAAGGCTTACCTACAGTTTTTCTGTATCATGATCTGCTTCATATAACAAAAAGCGAGCATGTAGGTCTGAAGTCAGAGAAATCAATACTTCCCAGTTGGTGGTATCATTTGAGATGATTAAGGAAATGATGCCCTGCTGGAGGTAATATGTCACTGGGGGTATGGTTTTATAATTGACATCTGCATACCATTTCCAGTTCCCACTGTCTGGTTCATTCTGCAGGTTGAGGATGTGAGATCTTAGCATCCTGCTATATCTGCCATGTCTGACACCTGTTGCCTTGCTGTTTTCATGGTGATCCTGTAACCCTCTGGAACCAAGAGTCAGATTAAATTCTTTCATGAGGTGATGTAGACATTATGTTATATCACAACAGAAAAGGCACAAATAAACATCCATAAAGTTCTATATCTGAATTAGTGATTTCATGTCATTGAAGAGGAAATCTAAAAGGGTTACTTTATCATTTAAATTTGTAGGATTTTGTCCATATGAGTTTCAAGTGCAAACAAAATAAAGACAGGCCTTATACTGCTTAAACAGATAGTTGACACAGTGAAACTATTTTCTCCAGAATGCTCTTGTGTACCTAAAACGTGTTGCCTAGAGATCCTTTATAGCCAGACTTTCTTCTGTACAAGTTTTTCCGGTTCGTCAGAAACTATTGTGATATGAACAGACTTTAACAGAATGATCGAACACTAAAAGTTTTACTCTTGTATACCACCACAAAGTGTAAAACCTTACCACACTGACTACATTTATAGTTTCTCTGCAGTATGATTTTTTATCATAATTTCAAAGACTACAATGATGTACAAAGGCTTTACAACATTACTTTCATAGAGTTCCTCTCCAATACGTGTTCTTTTATGCATTAAGAGAATACTGTGATGTGAAAGGCTTTATCACTTTGACTACATTCATATGGTTTCTGTCCTGTATGTGTTATTTTGTGTGTTTGGAGAATACTGTCCTGTGTAAAGCCTTTGGCACATTGATTACATTCATAGTGTTTCTCCCCATTAAGGGTAATGTTATGAATTTGGATATAACTCTGTTGTAAAAAGGCTTTCCCACATTCATTCCATTCATAAGGTTTCTCTACATTATGGATTCTTTCATGCCTTTTAAGATGATTATGATAGCCAGGCAGTGGTGATGCACACCTTTAATCCCAGCACTCGGGAGGCAGAGGCAGGAGGATCTCTGTGAGTTCGAGGCCAGGCTGGACCGATAGCCTCCAAAACAATACAGAGAAACCCTGTCTGTAAAAACCAAAAGAAAAAAAAAGATGATTATGATATACATAGACTTTAACACCTCAAGAATATTCAGGTTTCTCTCCAGTATGACCATTTGGTCTAATTATAAAGAAGAATCAGATCTTAAGGTTTTATCACTGTTTACACTCATGCTGTTCTGCTTCATTAAGGTTGGTTTGGATCTTTGAATATACCTGTGATGGTTCACATTTATTGCATCTTTTGTTAGGACTTAAATTTTATTACAAAATCAATGGAATTTATCTTGTATTAAATAAAACATTTCAACAATTCCCAAAGTAGCCTTAAAAATTCTTCTGCCACTTTGTATTGCATGTTTATAACAAATGAAAATTAAGAGTTGCTGATTAGAAAATCAAAATATTGACTAACTCTGAAAATTTTTAATAATAATCTTTGTTATAATATATTTAAGCTGGGCGGTGGTGGCACACGCCTTTAATCCCAGCACTTGGGAGGCAGAGGCAGGTGGATCTCTGTGAGTTCGAGGCTGGGCTGGACCGATAGCCTCCAAAACAATACAGAGAAACCCTGTCTCGTAAAAACCTAAAAATAATAATAATAATAATATATTTAATACTCGCATAGCATCTTTGGTATATATGAGATTTTTTCACATGTTTGAAGAGAACAGAAAAAAAATCATATATTTTACTATAGTATGAACCAGGACAAACAGAAGTATATACATATTCCATATTCCTAGTATGATAAGGCTTTTCTGAAGAGTGAGTTTGTTGATATATTTCCAATTAAGCTGGAAAAGCAATTACTTATAACTTGCATCACATTCAACAAATATAGAGAGAAAGCTATGTTGCTTTTTTAGATATCCCTATGTTCTTATGGCTTATAACAAGAATGACATATAACATACTTAATAAAGGAAGAGTAACAAATAAAAGGTGTCCACATTACATTCACACCATTTAACTTTCTATTCCTCGTGGACATATGGTATAGATAATAAGGTTTCTCCACAACAGCCACCCTTGTCTCTTGAGTCCTCCTCTCACTAAAATTAGCACAGTCACAAGTATGTGAATAACACAAGCTTTACTATGAACTATTTGCTTATTAGAGGATTTTGGACATGTATTTTTGACTTATTCAATGAGCATACCTTATGTAACATGAGTGTTATGAAACTAAATGGAATGGCAGGTACACAACATACCTATCATGAGGCTATGGTTAAAATGGTAGTATCTATTAAGGTATGGTTTCCTTGTCTGTTCTCTTAAATTTATGCCTTGTGAACACAATTCACCTACTTGACACTGAGGTATATAGTTTTTTGAGAATTTAATAATCATCAATGCACTTTAATTATACTTACTTTATTTAAAACTTCCAGACACCTTGAAATTTGTTCTGAGGCATATTTGTATTAGCTTGTACATTAAAATTACCTTCTGTGTAGCATAAAATATAGTACCAGAAAATATATGATATATTATTGGAAATTGTGCAACATTTAAGTTATTACTTTCAGTGAACCTTAGAAACATGCCTGATTCATTCACATCATCCTTGCTCAGTTTCAACTGTAATTACAGAAGAGCATCAATAACCAAGAGACAGTTGCCCCCTTATTTTAAAATGTGAAGGAAAATTCATAGTCTTACCTATAGCAGTGAGGTTCCTAAGTCTCCACCATCACATCTTTATGGAGATTCTTCTGGGAAGGATCCAGCAAAGCCCACTCTTCCTGAATGAAGTCAAAATGAACATCAACACAGTTCACGGTGTTCTAAATTATACCATAAATGTATGAAAAGAAAGTTATACTGACAACACAGCTAATGTAACAATCACCAAGTCACTTAAAAAGAACAATGAATAGAAGGGTCACCTCTGTTATTTCTGAATTCCTTGAATGGGATATCACCATGTTAAAGTAATGCCTGTTAGTAGACATACCTGTGTTACCCAATGAATCAAGATTTGCAGTTGGCATCGTGGTTTTGGAAGCCTCATTCAAGTTGTTCTGAGCATATGGTAATCAACTGGCTAAAGTGTAAATACTGAGAAAAGTAAAATGCCCTGACCATAGGGAAAGCACTGCAGTCCACTGAGGCTGGAGACCCCAGCAGCTATGAAAGGCTAAGTTCATTATTAAAAGTATATCAGAGTCTTCTTTCCACAGAGCCAAATGAACTCACATCCCAGCCTCAACATCCTCAACAAACTACTATCACACCATATGGCATAAATCATGATTCCTGGTGCTTTATGTTTATCATTTGTTTGTTTATAATGGTAACAAAAATAAGAAGGCTTAGAAGAAACATTAGATGCTAATTATTAAGATCATTGGACTCTGAGTTCTTTTCATTAATAAAATAAGAAAAACCTCTACCATGGCCAAGAACCACATTCTCCTAGGATGATGCTATGCAATGATTGGCTTAGCTCAGTGCCCTACAGCTCCAACCCTACACCATTAACAACATTTTTGTTTGGGATTGATTGTATTTCCTTTTTTTTCTGAATGTGTTTTCAACTTGTTACATACAAAACATGGAGAAAATATAAATATCCTGTCATCTGTATTGTCACAATTATTTTGCTTAATAATTGTATGTTTTAGTGCCTGAGATTTATTTTCCATCATTTATTTATTATTAATTTTAATATATAGTGTATGCTTTCTCCTTTTCTTGTTGGGGCCCAAAGTTGAAGATTGCTATGTAACTGTTAATAATTCTTATATGTGGTCCCCATTGGCACTGTGTATTGCCTCAAGGACTAGGGGGCCTTCCTGTCATAAAACTTCCTGTAAGCTCTGTCTTCAGGGAGTATTTGTCCCTTACCTGCTGTGGTTTGTACCCACCAGCCAAGGTACCTCTCGCACAGTATTATAACTTTGATACATTTTCATTCTGTTCATTAATTTTATTAAATTTTTTTCATTTATTTTATATACTGAACAGTTTCCCCTCCCTCCTCTTCTCACACTCCCTCCCCTCACCTCCCATGTAGCCCCCATCCACTCCTCCTCCACCCACTTAAAGAAAGGGGCCGGCCTCTCATAGGAGTCAACAAACCATGGCATCAAGTTGAGGCAGGACCAAGTTCCTCCCCCTGCATCAAAGCTGGAGGAGGCAAACCATCATGGTTTGTGATCCCACTTCATGGAGCCCCACAAACAGACCAAGATACACAATTTTCACACATGCAGAGGGCCTAGGTCAGTCCTATGCCTAGCTCTCAGTCCAGGGTCCATGAGTTCCCATGAGCTCCGGTGAGCTGTCTCCATGGGTTCCCCTGTTGTGACCTTGATTCTCCTGGGTACTCCTCCATGTCTTCAGCTGGACTCCCAGAGCTCAACCCAGTGCTTAGCTGTGGATCTCTGCATCTGCTTTCATCAGTTATTGGATGAAGGCTCTCTGATGACAACTAGTCACCGATCTGATTATAGGAGATGGCCATTTCAGGGTACATATCCACGATTATTAGGAATCTTAGCTGGGGTAATCCTTGTGGATTCCTGGGTGTTTCCCTAGCACCAGGTTCCTCCCTATCCCCAAAATGCACCCATCTAGATATACCTTTAATTACTCTGCCATTCCTTCCACCCCCAACCAAGCCAACAAGACACTACTTGTTGCCATCTTACCCACCTACCCAAACTGCCCCGAGTTTACCCAGAAATTCTCTTCTACTACACCCAACATAACTTTAGATGACCACAGAAAGAGAAAACAAGATATTTCATAACAAAACCAGATTTAAACAATACCTACCCACAAACCCAGCCATACAGGAAGTGCTAAAAGGAGAACTCCAACCCAAGGAAGTCAGCTGTGCTTAACAAAAACACAGGCAATAGATACTATCACAACAGCAAAACAGAAAAAGGAAACACACACACACACACACACACACACACACACGATCACCACCATGACAAAAATCAAAAACCAACAAGAATTATCAATCACTGGGATTAATATCTCTTAATATCAATTCACCAATAAAAAGACACATACAAACAGAATGGATATGAAAACAGGATCCATTCTTCTGCTGCATACAGGAAACACACATGAACTTGAAAGACAGACATTACCTCTAAATAAAGAGTCAGAAAAATAATTTCCCATCAAATGGAACTAAGAAGCAAGCCAGTGTAGCTACCTTAATATCTAACAAAATAGGCTTCTAACTGAAACTAACTTAAAGAACTGAAGGACATTTCATATTCAAAGAAGAAATCCATCAAAATGAAGTCTCAATTGTTGACATTTATGCCCCAATTAATAGTGGGAAACTTCAACATGCCACTGTCACCAGTGGACAGGTCTACTATAC